TCTGGGAATAATTTTGTATTTACTTTGCCATGCACACACAGCTTACTGATGAAAGCAGATGACTGAATCTACTTCATGCTTTTGGTTCCATGAGGGACAACTGCAAAATTCCCATTGATTTTGGGGGGTCCAAACTGTGCTTGTTGTGCACATCTGTGGTGTTAAAAACTTAATCTTTTTGTATTATGTAAAACAAAATCCACTTGTTCTCCAGTGGGAATGAAAACTCGATAAACAAAAAGAAAAGCAACTTCAGGGCCATTTAGTACTCTTGATCTGTGCAGACAACTCCCGTTGACATTAATGAGAGCTGCAAATAGCATCTGCAAATTGATACTGTAGCTGTCAGGTAATACCAAAAATTCGTCTTTGCCTATGGATATATACTGCTCCCTTGGTGAGGGAGAAATGAGCTCCACACAGCATGGGCCACTAAAGTTGACAACCTGTTAGGTAATTAACAACAGATGCATCTATTTCCCCCAACCTCCTAATTTTTGGCTTTACCATCTCCCTGATTTCAATTACATGGTTTGCATGCTGTCAAACCCACATGTGCTGGACTTGTGGAATACCATAGAGCAACTTATGAAATAGAGCGTACTCTCCTAGGTCAGGAATTGAAAGTTTGTAGCTTACATCATTCTCCCCATGCATAATGCATCTCTAATGAAATTCAACTAGGCAGCAAGTCTCTCAAGGACGCATGCAGCTTAGCAGGTGCAGCCCTCGTCACAGCTGGACTCCTTCACAGACTTGGCCATTTGGAGTTTGCTGGGTTTCAACCTCGCACCACTCCCACTCCCCCATCCAATAGAAAATCTCATGTGTGAAATCTCTGCCTGCTTTTCATTAGTTGGACCTGGACAGAACAGGCTGGCTTGCAGCAAAGATGACCTCACACCTCTTATGCAGGGCATATGCCATTTTAACCCTTCAGGGCAAGATTTTTAAAGTTCAATCAAGTTATACACAGACTTTAAACAGACAGATTTACTCCAAGGCCTGAATGCCTTTTCAAAGACAGCCTCCACACTCGGAGGGCTGAAAGAGTATAAAAGAGGTTTCATACATATTTAAAAAGCATATAGATTAACTCAATACCTTATAAGGGCCACATTTACAGAGACGTTTAGCTAGACAATGATCCACTGAACCAACCCCACACAGGTGGCAGTGGGAGTATAGTGTAATATGGATATTGGATAAGTGCATAATTCAGTTAACTGCATTAATGTAATGCCCCTTCCATTTCATCACCTGTTGCTTACACTAAAACAAACATCAGTTACCTGCATACCTGTTAAGTGCAAACACTGCTTCAGTGCATAGGAACTCTCAGCCTTATTGTATACTTTGAAATACAGTCATACTCCATGTAAGGGCATGATCTGAAAATGACTAGGACCTCTCAGTTTCAAGGCTTCTAAAGCAGCCGTGAACTAACTAGATCCTGTCAATTCCAGCAGGCTATCAGAGGTTAAATGCACTTTGCAAAACCAAATAAGCAGCCTTAATTAGTTGCAAAGAGCTTAATTCAGGATGTTCCTATAGGTAATGAATATCGTCTTATACTGGTAAGTGCAAAGCCTTTTTTCAGTCCTGAGACTATGGCTCTAAGCACCATCAGAATCAGTACTTCGAAAAAGCTGTACTCAATTAAAGTTTTGAGTGTTCTGCCCAAAGAGGGAAATCGAGGACTACCATTTTAAACCCTGCCCAAACAAAGTCAATTCTATTGAACAGCCACAGCAAAACCTCAGTCATTCAGGACTGGCATGCTGCCTCAAGCCAGTGAATTGCTGCTCTCCTTTTTTGTACAATATAATTATGTCTGGTAATTTCAAACTTGACCAAAGGAAGCCACAAGGCAGGTGGGAGGGAAGAAAATGCACACTCTTTAGGAAACTGAAACAGAGTCACAGGGCATCTGAACATAAATTTAGGGCTCCAAAAGGGCTAATATAAATTAGCCCCTTTTTAGCCCTCCCAAAAGGGAGCCCTAAAATATTTATATTTACTAAATATAAATATGCAATATTGAAACTTGGTAAAAATTCCAACCCAGTAAACATCATGGATATTTATCAACCTGATATTTCCCCTTCAAAATTTGGTCCAAGCAATCAGAGATCTTAGGAGACGTAGAATAATGCGTTTCTCTTGACTTTTGTGCAGAAGGCTCATTCATAGTTGCACACACGGAGGAAAAATAGAGCACTACCTTATCGTTTACCTCATTCTGTGAAAGTTCTGGAACTTAAAAAAAAACAAACAATAAAATGTGTTGAGGAATAACAAGTTTTCATGAAAACAAAGTTATATAGTATAACAAAGTTATATGGTAGATCATAAGCTGAACATAAGCCAACAGCATCCTGGGTTATATTAACAGTAGTATCACTCGCAAAGCAAGGGAAGTGAGTCTTCCACTCCCTTCAGCAGTAGTGAGGCCTTCCCTGGAGTATTGTGTCCAGTTTTGGGCCTCACGCTTCAAGGAGCGTATGAACATGCATTTTACTTGCTATAGTTTTTACATGCATTTTACTTGCATTATACAAAGTTATAGTTATCCTTTCTATAGGACCTGCGAGCCTGGATTGCAATGCTTTTGAAAAGTTTCTTTTCAGATGTATTGAGAAGCTGCCAGCCACAAAAAGAGCTCTTGTTAAGATTCATGGGCTCCTTTTTTACATACTCCAGTCTGTTGCAGTTATGTTCTCTTTAAAAATCATTATAATTTTAAGTTTCTTGAACATCACTGCAAAAAATTAAAAGCATAAGTCAAGTTTTTGCATTCAAAAAACTAGATCCTGGTCTGAGGTGGTATTTGGTGCTTTTTGCAAAGCTCTGAAGCTCTCATGCATTTGATACCTCAATACCTTTGACGGTCTGTGCCTGAGCACTCTCACTCATCATTACCTTACAGTTAAGGGTGGAATGCTCCATGCGTTGCTTACCCTCTGCAAGTACAGTGTAACAGGGGGCCTGCTCGGGGCTGACTTCCCACTGGCCCGCCCACCTGTTTCTGGGCTAACAGTTTGCGTTCTCTCCTGCCATGTCTTGTTGGAATTAATTAATGATGTAATTAAGCAAAAGGCCGCCCATTTCCTGCCCCGATGCCAGGGGGCGCTATATGCAGCTCCATTCCTCCCCTACACCACAGCCCAAGCCTCGCCTCGCAGATGGCATCTTAATGTTATCATCATCACCGGCCCTCACTCTGGGCCCCAGAATCCTCCTAATTGAACCCTGCCTGGATTCCTCTTCTCAGGCGGTCTCATCCACCTTCGTACTAGGCAGCATAGCTTCCTGACACCGCTTCCCCTTCCAGCCTCTGTGGCTCACTAGCCCTGGCCCACCTCCAGGCCAGTCAGAACCCCAGGCGTGCAGCTCTTGGGCATCCCTTGCAGCAGGCCCCTTGGCCCTTTGACCCTTCTGGTCCTAGCCCCAGCATTGACCAGTCAGGGGAAGTTCAGACAGACCTGAGTCTATGGCCTTTTCTCTCTCTCCAGGGGTCCACCCTCCAGGCCCTCCAACCAAAGGGGTAACCCACCCAGTTGTGGGGGCTAGGGCTTAAGGTGCCCCAACTCACTTTTCACCGGGGTGGTAATTGGCCTGGCATTTCCTGGGGGCTCCCACGCCACTGGGAGCCCCACCAGGCCACCTAGGAACAGGAGGCAGGGTGCAATTTTAGGTCATACCCAGGACCAGGAGCCTCCTGACCATCCCCTACAGCTCCTCCCTTACCTTCAAATGATACCAGCAGCCCCCCAGCCAGGCAATGTTGTTGCCTGGCCTCCAGCAGCAGAACTACCCTCTTTATATGGGCAGCCCTGAATCTAAAATGGCTGCCCTCATCAGGCACCTGCTGGCTGCTGCCTTCTGGCCCTTAAAGTGGCAGGCACAAACACTGCCCTGCCACATACAGGAATACTTTGAATATTTTTCTTTCTACAGATGACATGTGTAGCACCACATACAAACTTGCCTCTTTCAAATAGAAATGCTGTTGTAGTGCCACATTTTGTAGCACCATATGTAACTTGTAGCTAGTTATATGTAATGCTACAGAGGGTCTCTGGAATCTCCAGCATCCCACAGTCCTCCACTCTGCCTTCCCCAGCCCCCACAAGGTAGGGCAGGAACACAGCTAGCTCCTTGACTACCTGCCTGGTTATGACAACTTGTTCCAGAGCCCTTTTACTGCCACTACTGTGGGGACACCAGTAATCAAAACTTGGTAGAAGTACAAATGAATGTGTGCACATAAATCCATTTAATTTGGACTGAACTGGCATATGGTAGATGTGCAAAACAAGTTAATGAGTATGCCAACTGACTGAAAAGTAATGGTATAATAAAGGAGCCATTACTGTGAGCTATCCAGACACTCATAATACTTCATGCTTTTCTTACCACCCATACACCTTGCCATCTCTCATTACTCTTGTTTTGCACTCCCAGTGAACACTATGTTCATGCAAGAGTTACTTCCCTATTTTTACACCTAGTTAAACTAGTCTCATGACTAAGTTAAAGCTTGCATGTATCAGACATCTCTATTTAAATTTATATCAGTATGGAATATCTTAGCCTATCTGTATGTTATAGAACACTTTCCAGAAGTGAGGCATGTCTCTTGAAAGGGCATGCCAGGCAAGAAGTTAAGGGACAACCTGATTCCTCTCAAAAAAACAAAAAAAACCCCTATGATTGCAGTTCTAGAGCAACAGTGACACCCAGTGGCAGTCAAATTAACCCAAGCTTTGGATTCCCTGTAGCTATCCCAGGGGATATGTTCTGACCACTTAAAATGGACTTTAAATTGGACACTCAGAATTATGTCAGTCACCCAGTCATTTTGTTTCTTTACGGTCTTTCTTCAGGGAACTTGTTACATTGTGTCACAAGTAGCTCAGCATAATAAAACTATGTGGCTTTTGATAACATGCATTTGTTTTTTTTTTCTCACCCACTTTTTTGGCATTTTTCTGCAGGCTTTGAAGCCATCAAACCATGCCACCATTCAGAGCATTGTGAGAGCAGTTGGGGTTGTTCCTGGTATTCCTGAGCCATGCTGTGTTCCTGACAAAATGTCTTCCCTCAGCATCTTATTCTTTGATGAAAATAAGAATGTGGTGCTTAAGGTTTACCCCAACATGACAGTGGAGTCTTGTGCATGCAGATAACAGCCCAGAAGAAACCTTTGAATTGTTTAACATCATCTTTTGCAATGTTTTTTTATTCCTATATTTTTTGTTTGCACTTCCAATGCATTTCATTCCAGAAAAAAAAAGAAAAAAGATATGAGCAAAACTGAATTAGAAAGAGGACTAACATGAAGAGAAAGCTGAATGGAGATGTCTAGGTGGGAGGAGGCGGGGGAGGGTGGGAGACATAAAACTAATTCACCTTTGAAACTGACTGAGAAGCAAGATTTGGCAACTGGGACTAAGTATTTCTGTTGAAATACAAATGAAAAGTGAAATTTTATCAAAGACTCTTCAAGATGTTTTTAGAACTATCAGGAGGACGTGTTGATTTATTTTTGTATGAGGTTTTGAAAATGGCAGCAGCTGTTTTATTGTTGGCCCCATCTTTCTAGTGACGAACGGGAAAGGAGTTTAAAAAATATGTTATACAGTTTGAAACCAGGCTTTCTGCCTTCAATTACTGAACAGCTCAGCAAGTGCTAAATAACCTAAGCAAACCTGACATCCTACAAGCCTTAGAAAATCCAACATAGACATTTATTTCTTTGATACGACATATCATTGATTGTACCTGTATATTCATTTTTGTTTAGCATGTTCTTTGTATTTCAGCCAATATGATGCCCCTGCCCACAGTTTAGATAAGGGCAAATCACAGCAGTGTTGCATGTGAATTTGTAATGCCATACCAAAGCTTTTCTTTCATGCCGCAGAACAGTAAGAAACTAGTCACCATATAGCCTGGTGACATGGAAGTATCATAGCTCAGCATCACAGCTAAGCAAATAATTCCTAACAAGCATGGTTGAACATGGATAGTTTGTGGGGTTATGTTCTATAATGTTTCCAAAGATGAGGGTTTGCAACCCAGGGTGAGGTGCTCAGGGCCAGGGGGATCATATATAGCTGCAGCAAACAGCTGCATAGGACCAGTCCACTGTTCCAACTGATTGTTGCAGTGTTGATATTAAAGGCACCACTTCTCCAGGCAGCTGTAAAGTACTGATGTTGAGCTCCAGCTAAATGGAGATGCCCTTTCAAGTAAAAGCCACAGCAAACAGCTGTGCGCCTCACCTGTTACTTGGCAAACCACTACAGATTGAGCAGGTTGTGAACTGCCCAGATAATAATCTGGGCTCTAGTGAATTTGCTACTTACACAGTCCATGAGGAAATGACTGATGTCTTAAATTTATGTGAAATTATTTGCATAACTTGATCCACAGATTGATTGGGAGGACTTCACTGTGATGTTTTGACCAACATTTGGTCTGCGTTTGCTAGTCTTGATTGCATAGGTCACATAGCATTGTTTTAGTTCCTGTATTGGACAAAAGTTGCTTTTAGGCCACATCTAGATGGCAGAAGTACCATGACCAACAGCATCGCCATCCAACGCATCACAGAGTTCTGTGCACCATACTGCTCAGGCCAGAAGCTGCACAAGTGAGTAGAGGTGTAGTGAGAGAAGATTAATCCAAGTTGGGCAGCAACATGCATGATGTGTTTAAAGATGCTGCTGCTGGGCTTGGTAATTTAGCAGTCTCGGCAGGGCCTTAGAACTATGTGTCTGGTAAAGATACTCAAACTGTCAGTTTAAAATGTATACCTTGAGAGGTTTCTCTCACAAATGCCTACAATATGCTGTTTCAGTGAACTATCCTGTCACCAGGTAAAATTGGCAAAATATTTTGCAAAAAATGAATCCTGCATGGTATAAAACAATTGCAGAGAGCTTGGCCCTTTATTCAGGGCAGCATTCACACAGTATTTGCCCAGCTCTGCTCAGGCAGAGGTATTATGCCAGTGGACATAACCTAAAGATAACAGCACTTTTTAAGGAGATTCCTGTCTCTCAAGAACAATTAGCTTGTGTGAAAAATAATTTTGAACAAATTTAAGCAACTTTTTTGTGAAACTCACCTCAACAATTGACTTTGGAAACCAGATGCTGATCAGAAAATATTCAGGTTTTCTACACTGAGAACAAATGAATACTTTTGCTGCTCTCAGAACAACTAAGAGCTATACTACAGTATCAATAAATTCCCACTGCACTGAATGCAGCAACAATCCATTTTACCACGTAGACACCTGCAGTTTCACTGCTATTTCAAGATAGTATGAATGGTTTATTCTTAATGTGCCATTTGGTCACTAATATTGTTGTGTTTGCAAACTTGATAAATGTGTGTACGTATATGTGCAAGAGATGGGGGATGTGGAAGAGAAGAAAGAACATACCCTGTAGTGTCCACAGTGTAACCAGGCAAAGATCCAGTAGAAGTCAGTGGGAGTGCTGCTGAGGTGAGAACTACAGAGTAAACCCAGAGGAATATAAGGGCTTCCTGATAATATAAGCCCTTTCCTGATTTGTGCAAGTGGTGTGCTTCTGGGGACAGATTCCCAAATGGTGTAAATCAATATAGCTCTGTTGGCTTCAGTTGAGGTGTAACAATTCTCAAAAGTTAAGGATCTGATTTCTTAAAATTCCAACTGTTCTTCAGAGAAATCTTGGCCTACAGAGTGAACTGTAAGAAAGACTCCCTTTCCAGAGGCCTCATGGAACCTGAAGTCTTTAGGACCACAACTGTCAATAAACAAGGACGTGTGATGATATCTGTGCTCATAAGCCATGCCTATCTGGATTCTCTGTCATTTGACCTACTTCTGTATATAGAAGAAACATTTTAAATGAAACGTGGTGCTTCACATGTGTTTGAAAATTATAAAAAAGTGTATTTTGTGCTACAAACAGAAGACAGTTGCAGACAGAAAGAGCCTTCCATTCCCCAGAAACAAAAAGGCTGCTGAACAGCTCTTGTCACTCAATAACAAAGAAAGCCTGTGTCTACATGTTGTTCTTTATGTGTGTGATCTTGTGAAGAGAGACGTGCTTTAAGGAGAGTTCACAGCAACAAAGTACACAAGTGTCTGCACTCTGTGGGGATTACCTACAATTTCTTTGGTGTTAGTCCAATCCTTCACCCACTGAAGTCTTTGGGAATCTGCCACTGACTGTGTGACTGGCAGTCACTAATGCATGGTAATTCTCTCAAGCAAAAAAAGGAGACTTTTAATTAAGCTTCTTCAGCTGCAAAGAAATCCATATTTTAGAAAATAAGTATATCAATAGCTGCTATTTAAATGAAAATAAACCTAACCAAATCTAATAATTAATTACAACGGAGAAATAGCTTTTGTACAGTTTTATTGGGCAGCCCAGAAAGTGTGACAATAATTCCAGTGTCTGTCTTTAGGTTTAAGTGGCAATTGATTAGTAGCCATTGTTTCTTTCCAAATCCTGTCCCTTACAGCATGTTTAATGATCACCACAGGCTAAGTTGTCTTAAGATATATGCACTTCAGTTCCATTGAAGATAACATGGGAGCTGCTCACCTTACTAGAAGGCTGAAGTTAGCCCAAAGTTGTCTTTGCCTACCCCACAAAGAACACTGTAATACTGACAAACAGTTTATATCATGCACTATTTTAAGGATAACTTACCAGCCCAAAGCATTCCAAAAGCCTGCAAATATTAACAGTGGTTCTACAATAAGGAATTGTTATGCAGTTGTCGCAAATTCTTTTTGTACATATATCTCATTGGGGGAGGGAAAAGCTTTTATATACTTTTTATTAAAGAATGGTGATTATTTTTTGCTATTGACTTAATTCACCTCAAATGAAGAAAGGACTATTTTACCAAGACAGAAATTTCACTTCCGTTTGCACAAGTGGTAATGGGAATTTTCAAGCAAAGCCTGCAATGTGCTGTCGTAGGCAAGAACTGGCCAAATTCTTACGGTGGTGTAAAAAGTGAACACAACACATTAGGCTGGTATGATTTAGGCAACCAGGTGGTGTAACTGGAGACAAGACAGCTAGTTATCCTGTAATGATGCAAAAGGAAGTCTGCGTATGGCCTGTTGGAAAAAAGGTCATTATGTTCTTGGGATAAATACAGTATAGGCTGAGAGGGAAAGGAGGATAAATTCATCCTGTCATGATCTAACTGGATAGGAGGAGGAGGACGAGACAGCCTTAATTGACCCCACCATTAACATTGCAGGAGTCAGCACAATTTTGGCAGTACTAGTTATTCTTTACCATGCCCATTGCTGGTGTGTATGGAGACATTCCAGATCTTTCTTATGTAGTGGCTCCAAAGACATGCTGAGACAAGGAGAAGGCCAGTCCATGCAGAACGGTAATAGAAGATAAATATGCAAGACTGCACACACAACCTGCTAGCATCTAGGAATGGAGTAAAAAAAGAAGGCCACAGTACAGTTAGAAATAAACCATTGCACACAGGTGTTCCTCGAAACAAATATATATCCACAAGAGGACTTACAATCTCTCTCTCTCTCATATGTGTGTGCATGCGTACGTGCGCGCGCACACACACACGCGCACACACAGCAATGCACACAGCAGCTAAGCATCACCTAGCAGACCCATGAGAGTTGCTTCTCTGCCGACCTTTGCCTATTCCCTATTTGTCTTCAGCACACAACACAGCAGTTTGTGTGGCCTTTCTCTTAAAAGTAGGCTGCTTTCCCTCTTAGTCTCATTAGCTAGTTGTACTCATGTAGCTGTGCCTTATTCAACTTACAAAACTCCAGGTTCTTGCTTCTAGTTTATAGACTCATAGAAAAAAAAGAGATTTTGGGTGCCTAGCTCCCATTGACTCCAGGAGAATTAAGTGCCCAAATATTCTGGGTTTGGCAGGTATGAGGGACTTTGAAGGAGGTATAACTGAGAGCAGTCTAGTCCTAACTCACCTGTGTCACATACTATCTTTTAACTTACACCATTTTTATTTGAGAACCTGGTCCTGCATTTTGATCACAGGAAATAAAAGCAACAATAAGAATATAGGTATTGGAGACATTATCGGATGGACTATAAACATCCACAGCTAGTTTAATGGAACTGTCTAAATTCAACCTTTATTAAAAATTGTGGAGGTATAGCAAGTATGAATTTATTTTTACTATAAAAAATGCTTTCATCTTCTGTAGTAGGTTTGTTTATTTAACAGTGATGAGCTTACAGAGAGACATCAAAATGCTAGTTTCAAGTTTTCATAGCAGAGCAAGTATGGCCTTGGCTGTTTAACAATCTGTTTCTTTCCATTTCCGTAACACAGACTATGAAAATCAGCTTTCAAAGGGTACATCAATTCTTCAGCTGGTTTTCAAACAAGAAAAGCAGTAGTCTTGTTATTGGATCTAGTTCAGATTCTGAAAAGTACAATACAAAACAAGGGAAATTATCTTTGAGGGTCTTAAACATTCTCCCCCTTCCCATATTCTCAGTTGTTCCAGATCATGCCATGGATATATATATATTTCAAAAATCCATTTGTTTTCTAGTTCAGTGACCTTAGAATCTCAGAATTTCATTTCTTTAACATTACCCTCACCATATTTGTAGTGAGGAAAAAATAAAGCAAAGCTCTATGCTCATGTACTGAAAAAACCCATAGTGACATAGTGCTCTAAGAAGCAGTGTGACTGACTATTCATAATGGGAGCTTCCTTAGATAAGTGAAAGCATTTAGCTAATTGTCCTGTATAATTCAGATTGCTTTAGCTTTACTTTTTACTTCCCTGAAAATCAGAGGCACACAGGAAAATGGAGTCTTTGGACTCCACCAATAAATGCAGGAATGACATCTCATAAAACACCTCCTGAAGTTAGTTAAAAGCTTTTACCTGTAACGATTAGAGGAATCCTCTTGTAACAAAGGATGTTTTCTGTTTCAAGAAGTTCACAATTTTTTTAATGGTTGATAAACTATAGGAAATTAAAGCTTTGAGGTCAGCAACAGAAAACGAGAAAACAAGTCTTGATGAAGGTAAAATGCACTGAAATTAGCAGGGTTATTGATTTCTTAAGATGATCAGGATTCAAGTCTATGGCATTTTCTAAGGGTCTGATTCCATCGTTTGAGGCCCCTTCTGTTCTGCTGGTGATAATGAAGGATGAAGGAAATGCCACTCCTATAGTTCTTATCCACGTGAATCTTCCCATTAAAGTCAATAGGAATTTTGCTATTGCCCGCCATAGGAGACCAATGGTACTCATCTCTGTCAGAGACTAGAACTGGCTGTGCTACAAACTTCATTTAGGAGGGTTGCAGGAAATTCTTTGACCAGAGTGTTTGGCCTTTCCCCAGATCATCTCTACCAAAAGACCCTGAGGAAACATCTAATGCTACTACTGACTGGAGCATCTTAGCCTCAACCAGTATCTAATGTCCAAAATTTGTCATGTATTCAGGCACATAACTAGAGTTGCCTGGTACAACTGACTTGGGCAAAATTCAGCTTATAGTGTAAGTGGGCACAGCTCTACTGAGTTCAGCTAACCCCTATGACTCGTTTACAAACATTTTGTCATACAAAAAGGAAGTTTTTTGCAAATGTATTATGACCAATTTGAATTAGATGCTAATTTTCACTGTGATAAATCCACTGACTTCAAAGACATTACTCTGGTTTAACTGATTTAACAGGATCAGGCCAGGCCCCTGAATTCAAAAAGCACTCTATTAACAAGGAAGAAAAATAATCACCTCCATTATGCTTTAATATGACAACTCATGCTTTCTAGACATTCATAATGTGCAATGTCCATAATTTTACCATAACAAATACATTCTTCCTCATCAAAATCCTACTCCATGTAATCATATATAAGCAACAAAGTTTATTTTGCACTTGTATTTTTAAATTAAATCCTCTGAATAAAGTGACATCTATCATTAGCCACTTGTTCATCACATGGGACATTATTTCTGTTTGTAACTAAATATCAGAATGGATCTTAAAATGACTTTTCCAAATATTTATTTTGCTCTGACAAAAATCCTATTTAGTCTGCTTTACTTCATTATGGTAATTTTATGCATTGATAAATGGCTCTGCCTCCCTGCTAAAAAGTGGCATCTAATGTCAGTGCAGAATTTTTGTGGTTAACTCAAAAGATGGATAAAACTATATAAATGTGAATTTTTGGTCAGAATTTCAAAATCACATAGCATTGGCCTCACTGATCTCACTGTAGCCAGTGGTCATTTCGAAGTAGACTGAGCTGTCAATGCCAAGAGTTCTTGGAAACCCCACCCTTCTAAGGTAAATGAGGAATTTCATAGGACGTGTAATATATAGCATGAAGCATACAAAAGCTATCCAAGAAATGTATATGACTGTCTTTATGTATGAGAGTAGTCCCATTAAACTCAATGAGACTATTCCCCTGAGTAGAATTGTAAGGTATTCTTGCCTAAGGAATTGTTTTTCCCTAACCAGATGTCATTGAGGGACCTAACTGACAAGTTGTTGAGCCCCCTCCAAGGGGTGCCAAGTGCCTCCAAGGCTCCCTTTGTCCATGCAGAGCTCAGTGCAGGATTGGGGGTGCAATGCCTTAAACTTCCCATCTCTTGGCTGAGGCTCAGCAGACTTTGTCCTTTTATCATGCTATCCTCTTCTTGTAAAAACAGTCTTTGTAAATGTTTTCAGTTTAGAAGTTAAAGCTTGAATAGTGTCAGTAAGAAATAAAAACTGCAAAGAAAAACCCATCTTATTTGTATATGGAAAGAAACTTTTACAGATGCTTTTAATTTATTTTCTGCCTATTATTCTCTTGTATTCTAATATTTCCCTCTTTCAACATTGTTAAGGCAAAATGATTTTCACTAGAGTTGCCAGATGAAACGATTGGTCAAGATCACAAGAACACATTGCAGTGACCCTGTGAAGGGCATGTTTCACTACTGATGTATGTATACACTTGCCTGATCCCTTCCATAATGGAAACCTTTCATTACAAATGATGAAAAAAATAATAATAAAATCACTATATGTGACTTTTCATTTCCTTCTTTTGCACTTAAGCCTTCCAAGGAACATTTATGCTGTGCTTGCTTGTGATGCATGCAGCACTTGGGAACACAGCAATCCCCTGCTTACATTTGCAAAGACAAGCCAAGCTGAGGTTACTTTTATAAAATGAAATAAAGAACTAGTGAGGAGTGGGTACTTCAGTTTGAGTTAATATTGCCCGGTATGACAATAATACACTACACAACGGTTGTTGGGTCTGATCCAAGGCCAAAAGACGTCCAAGAGATTCTGTTCCTTCATTTCAGTGGGTTTTGGATTTGACCTAAAAATACAATGTGAGAGAGGGTGTGGACACATATTGCAGCTCACCAGAACGGTGAACTAGTCCTAAGTGGTTTTTGATGCGGTCAGAACACAAGTGTGTTTTATGACTTCTTTCCCAGAACAGTGTTGTCTATAACATATGGCTAAGAACTTGGGATGAAAATATTCATATTTGCATGGGAAAAATATGGAAGTTCTCATGGTTTCTGCCTGGCCCTTATACAAGTTCATAGTTAAGACTTTCCTCTTCCTTGAGCCTTGTAATTCCTTTAGTCTGCAGAGCTCAGGGCTCCTGTGTCCCTGTTCTCCAGGCAGTGAATAGGGGCTTACTGGAATTTGCTTGTAACTCTGGGGACAACATACTTTACTCCAAAGGGAGACATATAACTTCTATAATCCCTGAAAGTTCACTCACCTGGTGAGGAATGCCTCCAATCTGGAAGAAAGCATTTTATGTTGTTTTCAAGTACCTGGGAGGTGCACAGAGACTATGGTAATGGGTGACCACAGGAAACCTAGATAGATAAACAATGGGTTCCAGGCTTGTCCAATTAGTATAATTTCTTTTCAATAATCCCTTCTGCCCTAGATTGAGAAGAATTCACCTCAAGTACTCCTGTTGGCCAGAGCTGAGACAGCATGGAAATCATGCATCTCCCTTGTGAAGAAAATCAAGTTCAAGCCCAGTACACAATGGTAATTATTAACCGACTAGGACAGCTACCTCTACGGCCCAAGAACAATTTCATATAGGCAAGGGGTAATGCTCCACATTGGGCATTGGGTTGCTTCCCAACAAGATGTCAGTTTATGTAAGTATTAAATGGCCTAAACTTTTTAAAAAAAGATTAAGCAACCAGGTCAGGAAAGTAATATAATATAACCCCTTGGCATCTGTACACTGAAATAACGTAACACATAGTGTTGCTGGATGTGTTCTAGAAATACGTGACAGGACTGAGATTTTTTTTAATGTTGTTTTTGTTTAGCAAGATAATATGGAAGACGATGTACCTGGGGACTGCCTTGACTTCTCCAGTTATTAAATAGATTATTATGCAGCTGTGCCTCATGCTATCAGGCCAACAGTTTAAGAGGAATATTCATTGTGTCCTTCAACATAACTGGACTGCTGCTCTGTGCATGTTCTGGCTTCTGGCTCAGTAAGGTGCATTCTATAAACTTTAAAGTTACATTTGCTAATAGTGGGTTGGACACTCAGCTAGCGTAAATCAGTAAAATACCAGCCCAATGAGCTCAATGAGACTGTAGCCACTGGCTTCAGTGGGCCAGTATTTCATTTCTTACCTCAATGGGGCCACACCAATTTATACCAGCTGGGGATCAGCAGCAATAAATCAGCATTTACAATGAACTCATATTTGGGAGCTCTCTAAGAGGGTGTCTTAGCAGAAAACAGTGCAAATGTAGCTGAAAATCTTGCATGTACCCCCCAAAATAATTGGGTCAGGCTATATTATTGGAAGGGCAAATAAAGGATTCACAATCTTTCAAGGAAATAATAAACTACCCTTTTCAAAATGTACATGTTTAGAAGCCTATTGTGGCCCTATCCTTCCTTGTGATATGCCTTCTTTCATTCTCTTGTAATTAAACTGGCCACCAAACTAATTTTGGAACTGGTATCTTACCTCAGTCCTGTGAGTTCTAGAAAGCCAAAGAAGAGAGGGCTCAAGAGAGAAAAGTAAAACTATTGGCTACTTGAAATCCCTTCCTGGTTCAATGTGCTCACCCACTTTGCAACTGGCCTTGAAGGAAACCATTTTCCCCAAACACTTGCACATAAGCCACTAACTCCCCTTCCATCCACATATAAGAGGATCGTAGGATTGACCTGAAGTATGGGAACTGATGCGAGGAACCTGTAATACAGCAGTGGACAGGCAATCCAGGAAGATGTTGAAGAGTGATGGGGACAACTTCCTGGTGCAACTGTTGGAGAGAACAAATAGGTGCCATGTGGTTCTTGACCTGTTGCTCACAAACAGGGAAAAATCGGTGGGGAATGTAGTAGTGGATGGCAACTTGGGCAGCAGTGACCACAGGAT